ACATTTTAGGGAAATGAATACTAGTTTGCGGTWTTTTTCATTTAGAAGCAGTTGAAAAATTGCAAAATACATGTTTCTGTTCTCATTGCACAAGTTTTGATTTTCTAAGAAGCCAGATAATTCTGTTCCAGGGCTTTTTAACGTGAGGTTTTGTAATTCTCCTCAGGATTTTGTCTTCAGTAAGTAAAATAAAATGAGTTCCACAGAAGGTCAAGGTCAACGATGAAGGCGGTACATTTAAGGTTTGGCCTGGTGATTTAAACAGATGCAAGTCACTTAAAGTTGCTAAAATTGATCCAGTTATGTCGTTTTTAAAGCTAAACACAATTAACGTTTACTACAGCTGACTGATTGACTGCTGCTCATTCATGCTTTTATCAGTATTTGATACATGGTGTCAGTTTCCTGGATATAATATCACAGCAAAGATCTGATCAGAACCAAAACTCTACATAAATGTAAAATCAATAAAAACATTTTTTAAGCCAAATTGGAGTCTGACACCTGAGTGCCGTGGGAGCTGATTACTCGCCGTGTTTGGGATATTTGTTACTGTARTAGTACTTCATGTTTTTGACATACTACTATCCTAACTTTTGTATTTTCTGTCTGCAGTAAAACCCTTTAAATAAAAGCAGAAAACAATATTTATACAGAATATTTACGAGTACTCACATAAGATGTTCTCATCAGAGCAATGGGTTCAGCTTTGACATTTGACAAGTTGTGACGCCGACTCTTTCATACACACTGACACACACACACACACACACTCACACACACACACACACACACACACAGGAAGTCAGACTTCACTATGATCCTTTCGTGTGATTTCATCTCCTATAAATCCTCAGCTCGGAGAACACAGCAGCATGCAAACACAACACAAAAAGAAACATTTTAACAGATTTTAGTTTAACAGGATTGTTTTATTYATTTAAGATTTTATTGTTTCTTTCCCAAACACATAGGATTTTGTGTAGGCCGTTGGTGTTGTTAACAGGTGTTTATGTTTCACTGCGCATGGAGCTGCAGTTGGGTCAACACCTGTTTGTTCTGCACCAGTTGTGGAGCTTCAGAACACAGACACAATTTGAAGCAAAAAAAGAGTAAAAAAATCATGTTTGATGGTTTGACTGGCAACGATGATGTGAGCACAGATTCTAAACATTTCATAAAACTGTTTCAATTTCTTGATCTAAGTAARAGTACAAAGTTATAAACATTTTTGAACACATTTGGTTTCAAACAAACAGTAATTTTCGACCCACCTTTCAATGGGGATCAGCATGAAACTTCTACATTCTGTTAAAAAAAGGCAAAAACCCAGAGAAAATGCTGCACATGTTGAAATATTCTGTCATTATTGCAATGATTATAATATCAAATCAAACAGATAAAGTTGGCAGTACCAGGATACTGCTGGCCTGCTTATGAGCAACAATTTCCACTTTTTAATTCAGATTAGAGTCATTTTGTTGTTTATCCTTCATGGAAGCAGTTACTGTTGGTTCTGGCAGACCAGTATAGGTCGTGGTTCACATTGGAGCTGAACTCATGTTTGACAAAAAACATTTTGGGACCTCAAYGTGTCATTTTGTTGAAAGACTGAACCAGGATGCTGTCTCAGAGAGGGTTAGACATGTAGAAGATGATGTCGCTGATGTAACTCAGTGCCATCAGGATCCCTCACATTACTRCTGGAGATGAGCTGAGGTAGACCTGGTTGTTGAGGAACTAACTCCTGTATGATGATGGCTGTAACACAGTGAAGCTCCACTTAATGCAGGGGTTACATTCTTAAAATYGGGAAAAAACGCCAATAATGGATATGGTCCAAAAAAGGCCTACAGCGCATTTGAGTGGCAGTGGAAGAGTGGTTAGGGGAGTCGTCCTGGAACTGGTAGGTTGCCGGTTCAATTCCCCATTCCAGCTTTCTTAGTCTCCATAGATGATTTGCACATATTAGCTTTGTAGTGAGATCTAATAGAGTGCTGTGTGAAAGGGTAAATTAGGGCACAGATTGTAGTGTGAAGTACTTTGAGTACCCTGGTTGGATAGAAAGGTGCTACACAAGTACAGTCCATTCACATGGTACTGTACATTAAACTGTTAGAGGCACAGGGCAAGTGTCACATACTGTACACAGTCCCTATACATTGTTTGTTACAAAATTATTGATTTATAGCGCTCTTAATAATTTAGTTTGAAAACTTCCAAATATGCATTAAAGTTAAAAATATGTTCTTTACTGTACTGTTTTTCTGGTTTACGCAAAATTACAGAGATTACAGTAAACTATGAAAAACTCGAAAAACTGAACCTGCAAAATGTGAAACGCAACTTTGCGGGGCTTTACTGTACTTCTGTAATACTTGGCAAACAAAATTATCTTTTCTTGGTGCCATTTGTCTTGGATACTGCAACATTTGWATGCCACAAATGACAGACCAGTACATGTAATGACCAATTGTCATCGTTGTTTTTTCCTGCTAAAGTAACAGGAAGCTGGTGTCCATCTCCAGTGTTCATTAGGTAAGAGACAGGGGACATTTGGACATGTCACCAGTGCAGATGTGATGTGAACAACCATCCATCCATCCATCCATCCATC